CAGGTCCTGCAGGGACACAGTGCCGGGGTTTGGGCAGGTCCTGCAGGGACACAGTGCCGGGGTTTGGGCAGGTCCTGCAGGGACACAGTGCCGGGCTTGGGGCAGGTCCTGCAGGGGCACAGTGCCGGGGCTTGGGGCAGGTCCTGCAAGGACACAGTGCCGGGGCTTGGGAGCAGGACCGGCCCGGCAGAGCCGCAGAAGGCAGGAGCCAGGCTCCCTCTCCTGGCACCGAGCAGCAAGGAGCAGGCTTGGAAAGTGCTTCCCGCTGGAATGTGCCTATATGGAGTCCCAGAGGCAGGGCTGGGGCTGGTCTCTTGTTCCCATTGCTGGTCCCTTTGCCCCACACCTCTGGAAGGTCGGTGTGACCACCCACCCCCCTGGAGTGGGCCACAGCCATGTGATGAGGAGCCAGACTGCCCAGTGCCATCCCAAGCTGGGAGAGAGTTTGACACCATATGGCAAAGGCTGGGCAAATTCATAGTACCTTTCAACCATTTTGCTGAGAATTCAGGAGCTTTTATTCAAAGGGACAATGTCCAGTTGATTAAGCAGCAAAAACTGACAAAGCTTTAAAAATTGCCTGTTATTGCAGTTCTTAACCTCCAGATTCCCCCAGCCAATTTCTTCTTGTATAAAGGAAATAATCAAGCACTGGGGCAGAACGGAGCAAATGTAAAATGTATCAAAGATGTGCCAGCCTGCCATGCCTCCCACTTGCAGGGCTGTGGGCACAGGCTGCCCCTGCCTGGAGGAGTGAGCATCCATGGAAAAATCATCTGTTTGCTGTTTATTTATTCATTTCTCCTCTCTGCAATAATGGTTCTCCTCCTGCTGCTGCCAGTTCTGGAGCCTGGAACCCTCTGCTCATCTCTAGCAGAAGAACAACCTGTGCAGCAGCTGCCTGGGCTTCCCCGTGCTGCCTTTTCATGGTTTCTGTGGCAGGAGCAGTCAGAGTCTGGGGCCCCTTTGTGCTGCTGGGGGCCAGGAGGACGCTCAGCTCCTCATGCCAGGGGGCTCAGAGGGGCAGGCGGCCTCATCCCCACCCAGGGGTGCCCTGGCCGTGGCAGGATGGCTTCAGAGCAGCAGATGAGGACCACGCTTCCCTCATCCCAACGTGTGGCTGCTCCTGGCTCTCCCCATCCATCCCTGGGCAGAGGTGTAAGCTGGGCTTGAGGCTGCCAGCTGTAGTCGCAGGGAAGGGTCTGCAAGAGTGGCAGGACATGGGACACAGGAAGGAACGATTCAGCCAAGGCAAATCTTAGCAGCAAGTCTGGGGAGAGAGGGGAGGATGCATTCCAGAGGCAGGAAGGCTCAGCAGGCTCCAGCAGGGCAGGGGAGGGAGCTCCTATCCAGAGCAGAGCTTTCCTCATGCTGCAGCCTTGCGTTCCCAGCCCTGAGAGCCTCTGAAGTTGGAAATTAAACTTGCCTTGGGAGATTTTTTTTCTGCTTCTTACCTGCAGCTAAATCACTTTTTTTTTTTTTTTTTTTTCCCCTTTAAAGAAGTGAAAAAAAAAAATCATTATCTCTGAAAATGGAGCCTCAGGAAAGTGGAAAGTGGGATGAAGAACTGGAGAGATGCCCCACCTATAACTCAGGAGGCTTCCACTCCAGAAACAGAATATGCTAGACCCAAAATAACCTGGGGTTAGAATATTTAACAAAAAGTGCAGTAGTTCTTTGGGGGAAAAATAGTTTTTTTTCTCCCAACAATGTCCTTTAATCTCGTGAGAAGATTTCCAGGCATGTCACTGGGACCAGCAGTGGATGTGGATGGCATTATCAGTGAAACAATTACATCTAATCTGGAGGGAGTACTGAGAGAGGCCACGGAGTCAGGAAACAAGAACCTGGAGCTCTGGGCTCTTCTCAGGCTTTGGTGGCAGGATGTGGATGGAAGGTTCCAGCATGGCTCTGTGTGATGGACGCAGCTGGGAGGGGAGAGGCCAGGATGGCCTCTGTGCCAGGGAGCTGGGATTTTGGGACATTCTGTACCAGCCTGGTGCGAGCTCTGAGGAGATAAATAAATATCACTGGTGCATGGCTGCCCTGATTACACACAGGAGCCAGAAATCTGGGAAAAAGGGAATCTTCTGAAGCTGCTGCAGCCAAGGGAGCTGGAAGTCAGGTCCATATGTTTTGGAGGCTTTGTCTGTGAGTGTGCTCGTGCTGCTCTTGCTGTGCTCTGGGGTTTCCCACCACTTGGCACTCCATAAAACCAGCCCTCATTTCCATGCTGCAGGGAAAAGATTCATCACTTCCCATCTGCTTCCTAAAGGCTTGATCCTCATCCAGGGGATTTGTGAAGGGTCTGGTGTTGCCAAAATCATCTCAGGGCCTCGATAAATCCCCGAGTCTGCTTCATCTGGGTGTTTTGCACATGCCTCGTGTTCCATCTTCAGCAGCCGTGGAAGCAGTGGGTGTCTGGCTGACTCTGAAACGGCAGGGCAGGATGTTTGCAGTATTAATTGCTGAGTCCCAGTCCCAGGGGCTTCAGCATTAGCTTTCCTGCAGTGCACTTTATTAAAAACTGGAAACACTGGTGAGTCAGCAGCTCCTCTCCCAGAGATCCCAGCCCTGCTGAGCCCTGAAAGCTGCTGGGAGCATGTGGCCTCCTCCCCTGGGTGCTGTGCTGAACCCACACACCCTGCAGGGAGAGCAGAGATCCCCGGGGCCAGGGCAGCAAACTGATCAGCCTCCCCTCCACCAGAACATGTCCTGTGGAGCTCTGCCCCTCCCTGCTCACAGCAGCTTGCTGAGGGCTGCTGATGGAAAGGGGCAAGAGGAATGGCTGCGGAGCGTGGGAGAGAGCAATCCTGCAGAGCTCTGCTGTGATTCGCAGCTCCCCCAAGCCTCTGGGCCAGCACATCCCTCCTGCCCTCATTCAGACGCAGCAATCTGAGGGAGAGTCCATGTTCTGGAAAGTCTGTCAGGAGCAGCAGGAGCAGGGCTGCTCCCGTGGGGTGGGAACCTGGAGCCCAGGGTGACAGGCACAGGGAGTGCCCTCCCCAAGTGGGACCAAAACCAGTCCAAGCCAGGGTGGGCAGGGCAGAACGGCCCATAACTGGGAATATTGCCCTTTCCAGGGAAGGCAGGGGGACAGGCACCTCCAGGGACTGTCCAGGGAGGCCAGCTGGGAGCAGCATGAGAGGGGGGCAGCAGCAGGGCTGGAAAGGAGGCAGAAGCACTCTGTGCACAGGCCTGGCTACAGCAGCACGAGCCCAGGCAAGGTGTGGGTGCCCAGGCCTGGATCTCCAGGAGCACAGGGTGCTTGGGAGGGCTCCCAGGAAGGTTTGCCTGGCACAACTGGGACAGGGGCACTCAGAGCCCTGAGAAGATCCCTGCTGGCAGGTGAAGGGCATGTGGAGCTTCCCTTGGAATCAAGCCCAGAACAGGCAGGTTCTGTCCGAGGTGAAGTTTGATCTGTCATCTCCATGTGTTCCCCCACTACTCCCACCCTTTCTACTGGATCTGGAGGTGTGTTTTCCCAGCCCAGCAGTTCCAGGGGTGGGCAGGGATGGTCAGAGACAGCTCCTGAGTTCTCCAAGTGCTAATGGTGTAAGTCAGGTGTAACATTGTCCTTTGGAGGCTTTGTTTGTGAGCATGCTGGTGGCTGCTCTTCCTCTGCTCTGGGCTTTCCCACCACTTGGCATTCCATAAAACCAGCCCTCATTTCCGTGCTGCAGGGAAAGAAGATTCATCACCTCAGTGATAGCACTACACCCCTATCCCAAGAACTTCAGTACTTCTCCGTTTCTTTATTCATCTCACTGCTCCTCTCCAGGGAGGATTCAACCAGACATGCTCTCATGTACATCAGAACCCAAGCACCCTGTCAGACACCAGTTTGCCTTGAGGTGCTTCTGTAAGGTACTGCAGAACCCAGCAGTGCCTTTGAAGTGTTCCAGGGAAATGTCTCCAAGTATTCAAAGGTGGATCTGAGCAGGCCAGACTCTAATGCCAGAGAAGCCCTTCCAGCACTGCCAGTGTGGATGTTAAAAACAAACCAGTCTGAGAAACTGCTTCAAAGTCATTTCACTGCCTTTTGCAAAGTCTCTGGTGCCTCTGAGATAACCCCCTCTTGACTGTGAACAGGCACAGATCTGTAGCTCTGATTCTGCTTGCTTTGGGATTTGCTTAACGAGGAGTCATTTTAAGGCCTCATTTCCCTCCCTTGATGGGCCATTTTAGCCACTCCAGTATCTGGAGTGGTGCAGCCCTGCTGCCGTGGGGGCGGGTGGAGTTGGATATTGGATAGGGTATGGCTCTTACAGGAACGAGCTGTGGCAGTGTGAGGCACCTGGTGCTGATCAACTCATGGCCACACTGCATCTGGAACCTCTTCTAGTCTGGCCTAAAGTACCGTGGGCCTGACCTGTCTGCTCATCCTGTGGAACAAAAAAAACCCTGAAAACTAAAGAGGTACCAGGAGCTGTAAGTGAAGAATCCTCACAGAGCATTCAGTGCTCTTCACACTCGGTACCCTAAAGGTAATTGCTCTGAAAGGCTTCCCCTTCACAGAAGTGCTTCTCTCTGAGCAGCCCTCCACGTGCTCTCCCAGCAGAGCTGTGTGCTCAGGATTTGTTTGGAAAGCTCCGTGTTTTCCTGCAGCTCCCACCCCCCAGTCTGTCGTCCCTCAGCCTCCCTCGGTCTGGCACCCACAGCCTGTCCTCACAGGAGTCCTGCTGCTGCTGGCAGTTGGGCTGGGGCTCGGAGCTGTGCAATTCCCAGGAGCCAGCAGTGTTTGTGCAGGCTGCAGGGGCTCGGCATGCTGCATGTCAGAGTTTTGCATGACTAATTCCTACAAAACACTGGCAGGCTTCCTTGTAAACAGCACTCCCGAGCAGCAAGTTGCTGGAAGAATGGCTTTTAAACCTCGAGCCTGCCTGGTACCCAGATGTTCAGAGCCACTAAAGAGCCTGGCAGCCAGTTTTCCAGCTCAGCTATTACTGCTCTGTCTGCCCAGATTCCCTTTGGAATTTCAGCTCAGCTTCCTTTGTCCCTGCTCTCAGATCCGTGGTGGAGATGTGCTGCCCTGTTAAACTACTGCCACACTGAACTCAGAGGGCAGCAGCATTCCTACAGCAGCCAGTGAGGAATGGGGAAGGAATTCATTCAGCAGGGGATGGGACAGGACATCTGCACTGCTCCCTGTGCCTCCATAGCACTGGCAACGTGCTGCCCCCCTTTGCAGGGATGCAGCATTTTAAGCAGAGTGGCCAAATGTGACAACTGCCTGCTGCTGTCTCAGGATGAGGGACAATGGATGGGCTAAAGCCAGGAAAGTCACAGCAGCTGCCCTGAGTGCAGGGCCATGGCCTCGGAATGCCAGGAGCACAGGGCTGAGGGAAGGGGCTCCTGGAAGGGCAGGATGCCTGTGGCAGCTGTGTGAGAGGCCTGGTGCCCGCATGGAGCAGGAGTGGGTCTGCAAAATGCCACAAAACCTGGGGTGGAAAATGCACCCACCACTTCTTTGGCCAGGCCTCAGAGCCCCAGCACAGGCCTGGAGGCAGAGCAGCAGGAGGGGTCACTCCTTTGGCCTTGCACCTCGGGCAGCTCTCATGGCCAGACCCTTCCTGTGCCCTGGCCCAGGGACAAACACCCTGTGCCCTGTCCTGCCCTGCGTGCAGCTCCTCTGGGCTCTTCACACACGAGCCTGGGGCACAGCCAGCAGCAGTGACCAGTGACCACTTAGCCTCTGGCCCCTCTCTCTTGGCTGCAGGGTGCTTTTTCCAGGCTCCTTCTCTGCTGGGAGGTGAGCCCAGACAGGCTGGCGCCGGCAGCAGGAGCAGTCTCTGCCCGGCTGTGGCTGTGTCACTGCTCCCTGTGAGCTCTGCTGTCACTTGTGTGGTTTTGCCCTTCTTGTTGCAGTGGGAATCAGGCCTGTCTTGCATAATGAAACTGAATCTGGCCAGGTAGTGCTATCAGCTGGCTTTGTCAGCTTTGTGTGCTTATCTCCTAACCAAGCATCAGCCCTCGGCAGGGCTTCCAGCCCTGTGCCACAGCTCCCAGCCAGCCTTGTCACTGTTTGCTCCCCATAAGGCCACTGAGAAGTGTCCATGGGCACCAGTGGCACTGGGAGCTGCCTGCAGGGAGGTCATCAGCCACCCAGCTGGCTGTGAGGAGATACCTCCAGGAGGTGCCCAGTGAATTCCAGAGCTCCCAGCACTGCTGCCCACTGGTGCTCTGGATCGAGTCACAGGAGAACTCCTTGTTTATTGACAAGCCAGCAGCAGGCCTGTGCAGTGACCTTCCAAGCTGCTGCAGCACCTGTGTCTGCAGAGCTCCATCCACAACCCTGGTCCCTTTCAGGACCAGGGAGCAGCTGAGCAATGCCCAGTGCTGCCACGAGTGTCACCAGCAGAGGCAATCCCACATCCTGTAAGAGCCACGAGTGATGACAGAGCTGTTGCTTGTCAAGCTTTCACAGTGAGACCTTGCTGGCAGATAATCCCCACAGGATGGCAAATGCACCTCGAGCAGTTCCATGAGCTCAGGCTGATCAGCATCACCAGGAAACTTGTGCTGGTTTTTCTCTCTGTGCCATGCTGAGGTGCTGCCTGTGGGAGCTGCAGTGGAGAGCACAAGGTGTCTCAGCACTCTCTCCTGGCAGGATGTTGCTGCTCTCAAATGACACCAGTTGTAATTCCTCAGCTCTTTGAAAAAGCCCTGTTTTGCACTGAGAACTTGCTGTCCAGACATTACCAACTTCATTTTCTGCCCTTCTCATCTCTCCAGGTAATGACCAGAGACCCTGCCCATTTCCTAAATTGCTGGGCAGTGATTTTCCTCACTCTCAGATCCCGCTGCTGGCAGCCTTGCCCAGGCTCTCTGTTACAGTTCTCAGTTAAAGTCTATTTCCCAGGGGGGGAAATTATTTGCTTTAGTTCCCTCTCCTACACGTGGGTCATTGTGAAAATCTCCCAGTGCATCATCTGGGTTTATCCCAGGTTACCAGCGGGACACACTGGCTGCCTTCCTGCTGGAAAAAGCACGTGGAGTCTCTAAAACCAGGGCCAAAGTGGTGATCTCAGATCTGGGATCTGGGCTTATTTTTCCAAATGGACTGAGCCGGGCTTGTGGGGCAGTGAGGGCTCTGAAATGAAATTTCTTGTGTAACAAAGAGTAAATTTCTTGTATTGAGGTGCCTCCAACAGGGATTTTTGGGTGCAATTGAGGGCATTGAGGTGTAGGGTCTCAGTGAGAGATAGGGAGCTTATGGGGCTGCTGGGGGCATTGAGGTGTAGAGAGCTCTGTGAGAGATAGGGAATTATGGGGGCATTGAGGTGCAGGGGCTCTGTGAGGGATACAGGAGTTATGGGGTATTGATGTGCAGGGGATCTGTGAGGGATACAGGAGTTATGGGGTATTGA